TCATCATCTTCCATTTTTTTAAACAATTCATATGCTTCATCTGCTAGTCCAGCCTTGCAAAGTCCTTTAATCATCATGGTGTATATGTAGACATCAGGTTTTAAGCCTTTCATAGAAAGTCCAGAAAACAATTCCCTTGCAACTTTGAGTTGTCCAGCCCCACACATACCATCAATTAAGATACCATAGATTACAATGTTAGGTTTCAATCCACAATTTTGCATTGCTTGAAACAGTCTCAAACCGTCATCAATGTGATCATGCTTGAATAAGCCGTCCAGCAAAATTGCCCAAGTCCTCAAATCTGGAACCTGGCCACAGGCAATTAAATCCTTGAAAAGTTTAAGAGCAGTTGAAAGCCTTCCTACCTGGCACATGCCTGTTAAAAGAGTATTGTAAGTCACAGTATTTGGGGTTAATCCTCTATGAGACATCTCATGAAAGAGCTTCAATGCCTCATCTATACTTTTAGCTTTACTATATCCATTAATCATTATGTTATAACTAATTACTGTAGCTGTAGGTATGTAACCCTTGTTAACTATCAAATCAAACACTTTTCTTGCCTCATCCATTTCCCCACGCAAACAATATCCATCCATCAATGCATTATATACAACAATATTAGGTTCAATGCCTTGTTGAATCATTTCTTCAATCACATCTTGAGCATCTGACACCATCCCCTCCTTGGAGAATGCATCTACCAATATACCAAAAGTGACAACATTTGGTCTGATTCCTCGACCAATCATTTCATTCCATAAATTCTTAACCTCCAGCCACTTCCCTGAATCGCACATAGCCTGAATCAACGGGCTATAAGTGAAAACATCCGGGAGGATACCTTTAGCAATCATTTTAGAGAGTAGGTCCAATGCCTCAGTTATGAGCCTATCCTTGCAAAGGCTGTCAATGACTGTGCTGTATGCTACATTGTCAGGCTGGAAACCACCTTCTTCCATCTTCATCAGCAACCTAACCGCTTCAGCTGTTTTTCCTATTTTACACAGACCATTTAAAAGCGTATTGTAAGTAATTAAATTGGGTTGATATCCATCCCGAACCATCTCATTAAACACTCTCACTGATTCAGCAAAATTCCCTCGAACACAAAGCCCATTGATCAGTGTGCTGAATGTTATAACACCAGGTTCAATACCAATCTTCAACATTTTCCCAAGAGTAGAGAACCCAAAATTCAGACTACCTAAACGGCAGAAGCAATTAATGAGAATGTTAAGAGTAACAACAGTATGTCCGATCCCCTCTAATTCCATCTGTTTGCATAAAGAAACAGCAATTTCATAATATTTCATTCTAACAACTGC